TGCTCTGGGATGGGCCATTTCAGCAGGAAGCAGGGGACAGCGCCAGAGCCACCTGGCGCTTGTACTTCATCCCCTCCCAAGCACTGACCCGGAGCCAGTCCGGAGCTCGCCATACTCTCAGAACTCAGCTCATCCAGTGGTCTTGTTGGCCACACAGTGAAACTGAGGCCCAGAGGGAGACAGGGACTTCCTCAGAGCCAGGGTGCAGGAGGGTAGGAGGCCCCCGGGGTCCCCTGCGCTGTCCTGGCCCCTGTGGCCATCGGGCACCCCGCACTCAGTCTGAGTGACTTCCATCTTGCTCAGAAGGCCCTGGGGGCTGGAAGGCAGGGGCATGGGCCACTGTGAATCCCCTGCCTCTCCTCTATCCTTCCCCAGCACAGACGCGTCTTCCCACCGCGGGGCCCAGATGGGCTAGCATCCCTTGACGACCTGTCAGTCAACCTGGAGAAGCACACGTGACCTTGCTGAGTACAGGCTGGATCAGGAGCCCCACTCTGAGGGTCTCGGTAGGACCCTCTGGGGCCATCACAGCAGTGGCCTGAGCTCAGAGCCACTTGGCCTGCCTGCAGCGCCCATCCAAGGAGTCGGTCTCTCCTCGGGGTGACGGCTGAGCTCATCCAGGCACTCCCACCCTCTGGGTAGGAAGCTTGGAGAAATCTGAGTCTGGGTGCCCCCTCCCTCGCCCCATCCCAGCTCTTGCCACGTGCCATGTGCCACGTGCCGACACTGTTGGTCCTGAGTGCTGCTCTCACCTCCACTTCCGTAGTCTCCACCTGGGGTCATCTGTGGGCTGGACCGCTGCAGTAGGCGGCCACTGTCCACTCTGCCATCCCCGTGGTCCCTTCACAGCCCAGTCACCGCACAGCCACCGCCACCACTCCAGCCTACAAGACAAAACATCCCAGTGGCTTCCTGCTGATCTTTAAATCAAGGCAGACAACCATAACACACCTTGTTGTGGCTACAAGGCTCGGCTGGTGTAGCCCCCGGTGCCCTAGCCCCTCTGGCCTACTGGGCCTCTGTCTTATAGCACCTGCTGCCAACACCAGCCCAGGGCCGGCCCTCATGACTCCAGGAGAGACATGTCCCCATCACCTGCACTCACCTCTAGGCTGGGGAAGGCATTCTTATCCCCACACAGGGAATAGAATTTGCACACAGCCCCTTGCCTTGTCTGGCTTCTTAGTGATGACAGAATGAATGGATAAAGGGGTGGGAGAACCACCCCACACTTGGAACTTGTCACTTCAGCTCAAGACATCTTTCTGTGTGCGTGCGCGCCTGGGTCTGCATGTGGGGGCCTGGGCCGGGCAAGCCCTGGCCTCTGGCTGTCTGGCCTGACTCCCAGTGGGACAGCTCCATATCAATTACAGGCCATCAATAATGCATCCTCTCAGAGTGGCCAGGAAGCCATTAGCTGGGCCTGCAGGGCCAGATGCATGGCCTTGGAGAAAGTGGACGGGGTGTGCCCATGGGAAGTTCAGATTGTCCAGGTCAGGAGGGGCTCCCAGCCCAGCAGAGCCTGGGAGGGTGGCCTCACAGGCCCTCCGTGACCTTTGAGACCGGCTGCCAGAGGGTGGCTACACACTCCCCACCCTGCACAAAAGGTCACCCAGGAAGGAGTCAGCCCTGCTTTCTCAGCCTCTGAGAAAGTGCTTGGTTTTGAGGTCCAGAGTCTGAGTCCAGAAATTAGGGCTGAATCTGGGACCAGGGTCACTGTATAACCAGGATCAGGGCTCCAAGCATGACCAGGGTCAGGTCTCAGAATGTGGCCAGGATCAGGGCTCAGTGAATGACCAGGATCAGGGCTCAGTGAATGACCAGGGTCAGGGCTGTGTGTGTGACCAGGGTCAGGGCTGTGTGTGTGACCAGGGTCAGGGCTCAGTGAATGACCAGGGTCAGGGCTCAGTGAATGACCAGGATCAGGGCTCAGTGAATGACCAGGGTCAGATCAGGGCTGTGTGTGTGACCAGGGTCAGAACCTAGCATGCCTGAGGCTGTTGGTCTCAGCTTTGGGCTAAGGTTACGGCTCAGTTTGCAGCTGGAGTTAGGGCTCAGTCTAAACACAGCTAACCAGTTTCATTCCTCCACTTATTACTTTCTCTTCAATAGTATTTATTGGGTGCCTCCTGTGCACCAGGCACCAAAACAGACCGGGTCCCTGCTCCCCTTAGACGCGTTCTGTTGGGGGACAAGGGAGGCGGCAGGGTGGGGCTTGTGCGAGCCGCCTGCACACTTCCTCCCAGTTCCCAATGCCATTTGAAATCACCGTGGTGAGAGTGTTCACGCCACACACTCCTCTCCAGCACACTGCCCATGGGGGGTGAGAGAGGCGGAAACTGGAGGTCCTGAAGGAACATCTATGTGATCTCCTCCCATAAACGCCATTCAAATGCAGGAAGGACAGAGAATCATAAATGCACAGAATTAAGAAACTGTCCCTCGAAGTCCTGTCCGCCAGGACAAGGCGGGTAGGAGGTGTTGGTAGACAGACAGGAAAGCCATGACTGACCCAGCAGACCGAAGACGGCAGGATTAACAACTGTGGCACCTGCAGTGGGGGGTCACAGCCCCTCATCCCCCCGTCAGAGCCCCTAGGAGTCTGGGAGGAAGGAGGTGGGGTGTGCAGCTGACCGCAGGGCAGGGGGTTGGTGCAAAGCCTGCACACAGGGGTGGGCGTTTGGTGCAGAGGTTAAGACGCCCCATGGGATGCCTGCATGCCGGCTCCTCTGCTTTTGACCCAGTTTCCTGCTACCGCACACCCTGGGAGGCAGCAGGTGATGGCTCAACTACTGGGTCCCTGCCGCCCCTGCGGAAGACTCAGTTGAAGTTCTGGGCTCTGGCTGTTGCAGGCATTTGAGGAGTGACCCATCTCTGTCTCTCTCGAGATAAATAGACTTTTCTAAAGGTGGAGATAGACTTTTCTTTTTTTTTTCTTTTTCTTTTTTTTTGACAGGTGGAGTTAGACAGTGAGAGAGAGAAAGAGAAAGGTCTTCCTTCCGTTGGTTCACCCCCAAAATGGCCGTTACGGCTGACGCTGCACCGATCCGAAGCCAGGAGCCAGGTGCTTCCTCCTGGTCTGCCATGCAGGTGCAGGGCCCAAGCACTTGGGCCATCCTCCACTGCCTTCCCGGGCCACAGCAGAGAGCTGGACTGCAAGAGGAGCAACCAGGACAGAACCGGCGCCCCAACCGGGACTAGAACCTGGGGTGCCGGCGCCACAGGCGGAGGATTAGCCTAGTGAGCCACAGCGCCGGCCGATAAATAGAATTTTCAAAAGTCTGCTCACAAAATATTCGAGCTAGGTTAGGCAGGGACCTGGGGAGAGGGGCATTCTCATTCCCCACCCCCTACCCCCCAGCCCAGCTCCAGAGGTTTGGGCACAAAGCTGAAGAACTTTCCAGAAAACCTGAGCAGTCCCAGAGACAAAACCTGCAGATTGGGGCCGGCGCCGTGGCTCACTTGGTTAATCCTCCAGCTGCGGCGCCGGCATCCCATATGGGCGCCAGTTTCTAGATCCAGTTGCTCCTCTTCCAGTCCGGCTCTCTGCTGTGGCCCTGGAGGGCAGTGGAGGATGGCCCAGGTGCTGGGGCCCCGCACCCCATGGGAGACCAGGAGAAGCACCTGGCTCCTGCCATCAGATCAGCGTGGTGCGCCGGCCACGACGGCCATTGGAGGGTGAACCAATGCAAAAGGAAGACCTTTCTCTCTGTCTCTCTCTGTCACTGTCCACTCTGCCTGTCAAAAAAAAAAAATTAAAATAAAAAAAAAGAGGAAAGTGTAGTAAAACATTACAGCCAATGCACCAAAATATCAGAAGGTGGTAAGTGCGAGGCCAGGAACTGAAGCAGGCTGATGTGACCTGGGGCCTGGGCAGCTGTCTCCCACAGGGAGTCCAGGAAAGCCCTTCTGAGGGGAGCCAGCTGGGGCGTGCGACAGAGCAGCCTGGGAAGTGGCCCTGACAGCGCACGGGCTTGGTGTCTGAAAGGGAAGGAGGAGGCTTGCGGTGCGGGGCTGGTGATGGGAGACTGGGCGAGAGTGCTGTCCAGGTGGGCACCGCCAGACCGTGCACCTGCAGGGCTCAGAAGTGTGGCTTTCTGACCACGGAAAGGCGTGGAGCTCTGTGGCCAGGGGTGTCACAGTCTGCTGTGGGTGTGTGAGAGTCTCGTGATTCCAGCTGGAGACGGGTGGCGGAGGATGAGGCTGTGGCTATCCGGGTACACAGGTGCGGGGATGGAGGTGGTGAGTAGGCAGTGGTGGACAGCACTCGGGGGTGGACCTGGACTTGGGGACAGGCTGGATGTTGGGAAGAGGGAACGCGAGGAAGGAAAGGAGGTGCCTGCATTTTTCGGCTCCAGCTGAGTTGAAGATGCCCGAGGAGAGGTTCCCGGAGACAGCGAGGGGCCCTGTTTCTACCAGCTTGAGTTTGCAGCCGGACACCCCATTCGTGGGGCTGCCTTCACAGGCAGTGGGAGGTGCAGGTCTGACATTCCAGAGAGGGTTGAAGCAGGAGCTGTGCATTTGGCCACCACCACTTGCATCAGGGAGGGAGCCTCCTGGGGCAGGTGTGGGGGTGAAGGAGGGAAGATGGGGGGGTGCCACTGTGCCGGCTCCACGCGCCAGGTGGCAGTCAAGGCAGCTTGGCGCCCAGCCCCGCCCTTCCCCTAGGGGTCCAGGGAGGCCACTGAGTGCCAACAAACCAGCCCCAGCCAGACTCAGGAGACATCTGGAAGCCTTTCCGAGGCTTCCCCCAACAAAGCAATAAACCAAAATAAAAACGTGTGCAGCTTTGACAAAACCCTTGTGATGCAACCCAAATCCTCAAAGAGGCGAAAACCTGGGACCCGAGTCTGGGGAGGTGCAGAGACAAGCTCAAGGCCCTGCAAGACAGTCACTTCGCCAGATCGGCCCATTCGGCCGGCCCACTCCTTCCGTCGTGCGGCCGGCACAGCTCCCGGACTCCTCTGCCACAGACCCACCCGGCCCTTCTCCCTCTGCAGTTTGAAATCCGGCAGCTGCGCGCACACCTGGCGCAGCAGGACCTGGACTTGGCCGCTGAGCGCGAGGCGGCGCTGCAGGCCCCACACGTGCTCCGCCAGCCGCGCAGCCGCTACAAGGTGGTGGAGGCCGGCGCGTGGGACGAGGAGACGGCGGCCGAGAGCGTCGTGGAGGAGCTGCGGCCCTCGCCAGGTGAGCAGCGAGCCCCGCCCGCGGCCTCCCCTCGCTCCCTCCTGGGGATTGGCACCCCCTTCCCTCTCCCAGCCCCTCCCTGCATCTGGCCCCACTAGCTGCCTGTGGGGTTGGCTGCCCTGGGTGGAATGCACATGTCCACAAGTGTCCAGAACCAAAGCCAGGCTCCGGGACGTCATTTGCCTTGCGTGGGTCCCAGCAGCCTGCTTCCCCACCCTGGCTCAGCTTCCCGGGCCGGAGCTTGTGGAATCCACCTTCTCATTCTTCGCCCAAGTTCCCCTGGAAGGCGGCTGGCTCACGGTCTCGGGGCCCATCCTGGGGTCTTCCACCTTGGCCTGCCCAGAGCAGCCCTCCTGCTGTCTTAGCATTTCCAGGACAGCACCCCTGTCCCTCTTGGGGTCCCCAGCTCCAGAGATAACGACAGAGAGAAAGACCCCAGAGGCCCGACGCCACCTATGGGCCCAGCAGGAGCCAGGCTCTGGGCGCAGAGGGCCCACCAGCCGACAAAGCCTCGCAGGTGATCCTACGCCCCACAGTGGAGCCGTGAGGCTGGAGGCCTCCTGCCTGTCCCTCCTGCTCCCCTCTGGGAGGAGGAGGGAGGCTGGGCAGGACGGAGAAAGCTGGGCAGAGTCAGAAGCCGCCCAGGGTAAACCTGACCACTGTGTGTCACAAGGGGGCTGTGCTGTCCCTGCCCACCCTCCTGGCAACTGCTGGGGGGTGGGGGTCTGCACAAGGCAGGCTCCGCCCCCCCCATACAGGTGCCGTATGCACCCTGGACACAGCTGCAAACGTGCCTCCCAGCCAGTGGGAGCCCCCTCCCTGACTAGATGCATACCTGCTCCACGCTGCCCCAGCCTACACAGTCCCCTCCCCCGGCACCCCTCTTTCAGCCGGGCCCCCAGCATCCCCAGTAGCACAGCCAGCACCATGGAGCAGAGAGGAGAACCCGAGGGCCCGTGAGAGGCACCTGAGTCACAGCTCCAGGGGCTCCAGGCACACAGGGCACACCACAGCTGAGCCCTCTGGGACCAGGAGCTGTGTCCAGGGAGGCATCAGTGATATTAAAAATTACAGCTGCACAAACTCGGGGCCTTCTCTCTGGAGACGAAGCGAGGGCAGCCTTTGTTGCTAACTGACCTCTAGGTCCACTGTGCACACAACAGAACTCCACAGGCAGTCCAGGGGGGGACCTGCAGATGTGAGTCCCAGCAGCCCTGGGCAGGGGCCAGCCTCACCCCTCCCAGCTCCCCCTGGACGGGGGAGCGCCAGCCGGAGAGGAGGAAGCGGCTCTGAGTCTCAGAGATGCCAGCGGGTCCCAGACACCGCCAAACAGCTTCTGTTTAGACTTGCGCTAGTCACAAATCATTTTTAAAACTTGGGCTGCAGAGTTCCAGGCTTTGGGGCCTGCCAAGTTCATTGTGCCCCTGTGTAGTCATTTTTTTTTTTTTATTTATTTTATTTTTTTTTTGACAGGCAGAGTGGACAGTGAGAGAGAGAGAGACAGAGAGAAAGGTCTTCCTTTGCCGTTGGTTCACCCTCCAATGGCCGCCGCGGCCAGCGCGCTGCGCCCGGCGCACCGCGCTGATCCGATGGCAGGAGCCAGGAGCCAGGTGCTTTTCCTGGTCTCCCATGGGGTGCAGGGCCCAAGCACCTGGGCCATCCTCCACTGCACTCCCTGGCCACAGCAGAGGGCTGGCCTGGAAGAGGGGCAACCGGGACAGAATCCGGCGCCCCGACTGGGACTAGAACCCGGTGTGCCGGCGCCGCTAGGCGGAGGATTAGCCTAGTGAGCCGCGGCGCCGGCCCCCTGTGTAGTCATTAATACTTCTCTCCCGAATTTATTAGTCTTAAAGCCTGCCCATAACTTAGGAATTACAGCCCCTGGGGGGAGTGCCACGGATTTCGCTGTGTGTCGCTGTGAACCCTGTCCGTCTTCACTGAGGACTGGGCATTCACTCCTATGCTCATCTTTCATGCCTGGTATACAGTCGGCGCTCAGAAAACATTAGTGCCCTCCCTTAGTGACGACTGTTAGGCCATGCGGTAGCATGCTGGGAGTGGGAGCCCAGGCTAGGAATTAGGGCATCTCCCTGTGCTTTGGGGCCTAGGTCTCGCGGGGGGTCAGGGGGCCACTGCAGCCTGGGCAGCCTGGCTGGTCACCACCTCCAGGAGGCCTGGCTGGGCTGACCCACATCCCTGGCCTCCTCTCTGGGCTCCACCCAAGGCAAGGCCCAGGGCGAGTGCTGCCGCCTTCCACACTGGAGGCCTTGGGAAGATCGGTGGGCTGGGATTGCAAAGTGCTCACACCAGGGATGAGGCACCCTGCGGCCTCGGAGACGCCAGGCCAGCAGCAAGCACATGGGCTAGGGTGCGGGGGGCTGAGGGGTGGCTAGACCAGGCACTCAGCATCGTGGACAATCACTGCTGTTCGGTCCACAGTGGCCGAGTGCTTGTTAGCCCCGTTTTATAGGTGAGAGGCTGAAGCCCAGAGCAGCCCGAAGGCATCTGCCCAAGGCTAGGTCGGCCCCTGCATCTGCTTTCCCTGCTGAGGGCTACATTAGGGTGGTCCTTCCTCCCTGCCCCTCAGGCCCCCTATGGGCTGCTTCCGGCAGGACCCTAGGGCTCCCAAGTGCCAGATCAGACGCTGGGGCTGCAGGTGGGGGACTGACTGTGGTCCTTAGCTCCCTCCCTGGGCCCCAGCTCCGTGCCTCCAGAGCAGGGGTGCTGCAGGGGGTGGAGGGAGTGTAGGTCCCCAGCTGCATTTACTCCAAATTCTTGGCTTTTGTGTGAAAGATACACTCAAAGCAGAAACACAGATGAAGTTGCAAGAATGGGCACAGGACAGGTTAAAGAGACAGTACACACTCACGAGTGCTGGCAACCTGGTGGGGGGCACCCCACCCCAGTTGGGTTGCTCCCTTTATTGGGTAGGGGTAACTGAAGATACAAATGGGGGTTGGGCAGGGCTCAGTGCACTCGGTTGCCTCTGGGGAGGTGTCCTGGGGTCTCCACGTGGCGCTCGGCTCACACGTGACCATCGCATTGTCTTGTGCGTGGTGGAGGGGTGAGGCTTGGGTGCATCATGGGAAGTGCGTATGCCGAATCGGGGCTGCAGCAGGAACACTGCTGGCCGGCCCTTGGCTCCTTTTCCCTCGCGTGCCCAACCACAGTCCTCTGTCCAGTCCGCCCTGGTGGGACCTGGCCAGTGTAGGCTCTGTGCTAAGCACCAGGGAGACAGAGTGAGTAAAATGTAACTGCTGCCCCCTGAAGTCCTGGGGCTCCTGTGTGGGTGGGGACAGAAGCCCAGCCCGAATGGTGTGCCTGGGAGAGGAGGACCCCGGGGCCCACAGGACAGGGAGCAGCACGGGCAGGACGAGAGGCGGAAGGGGGAGCTGTGAGGCCGACCTGAGGCTGGACCGTCGCAAGTCGGGGAGTTGGTAAGGAAAGCGAGGGCAGCCCAGAAGACAGCAGCGGTCAGAGCGAGAGGAGGAGGAAGAGCAGGAGGGGAACCGATTCCATTCCGGACGTGTTGAGTCACAGGGAGTTGGAGGTCATCCAAGAGGCGCCGTCCGGGACGGTCGGCTGGGCCAGTCGGCAACTCGGGACACATGTCTGAGCTGAAGGTCATCTGGCTTGGCTTATTTGTAGCACCTGTTTGGATGAAGATGTATTTGTAGGCAATACATTGTTCACACACAGGTAGGAGGGGGCTCCCAGCGGCTGCCCTCGGGGCTGTGTGAGTCCAGGCTGGGGCAGGGAAGCCACTGGCTTCTCTCTGAGTGAGCAAAGAGGGGCAGTCCGGAGCACACTACGGGGATGCCGGATGTGGTAGGGAAGGGCACTGACTGCGCTCTACAGAGCGGTGGTGACCACTGCGCTTCCGTGTGTGAAGCCTGAGCCCCGGGCTGGAGCTCTGGTGGGCACACAGCAAGCACTGGCGTCCACCTCCTCCTGCCCCAGGCCGCGGCCCCACGGGCAGCTGTGTGTGCAAAGGCTGGAAGGCCGGGGTGGGCGCTGCCTGGACAGTCGGTGTGGGGAAGTCAGTCAGCTGGGCTGTGTAGAAACAGGCTTGACCTCGGCCGCTTGTGGAAGGCGGGGCCAGGCTCTGCAAGGCGCGAGGGCCTCTCCCAGCTAAGTGGAGATTGGCTGCTGGACCCAGGAGTGGGCGCCCAGGGACCCCTGGCCTGGATACCTGGCAAAGGGCCGGGCATGCTGTGACCCTACTGAGCACAGAAGGGTAAGGACCAGAGGCGGGAGGTGCAGTCCCCAGAGGTGTGCGAGCTGTGGTGGAATGGGCTTCCCTGAGCAGGCAGTGAGCTGACTCCTGCTCTGGGGCGTGGGAGGGTGTCCCAGGTCCCTCCCCACCCTTCTCTGTCACCCCCCCGGACTACAGAGCCAGCTCGTCCAACCGCGGCACAATCTGTGTGACCCTGGCCGGCCAGCGTCACGAGAACCCAGGTCTGGGTTTTTCTCGTCCACCTTGGGCTACCTCCTGCCTCTCCTGGGGATACTTGGGTGGGGCTCAGGGTTCTGCCCACACCACACGGCCCTCCTGCAGCTGAGGGCGCCTGGGGCCCCCGCAGCCCCTCTGCCAGGAGCGGCAACCTTAGGCACCTCCCACTTCCCAGGGCGGCGCCAGAGCCGGCAACACTTCCAGCACAGGCGTGAGCAGCCGCGTGGGGGGCTCCTGTTGCCGGCTGATCAGGGCGCAGGGCCTGGGGCCAGCCCGGGGCCCTCCCTCGGCTCCTGCATTAGTGGGAAACACACCTCTGACCGCAGGCATTTAGAGATCAGAAGAGGCCAAAAAAGCTTTTAAGAGCTGGGCTGTGCATGCGTGGCCATGCAGCCTCCCCACGGCAGGGCCGGCTGGCTTCTCAGGTGCACGCAGCAGGAGGCCTCAGGACCGACGCCTTGGGTCTGGTCCCCTGCAGTCCACCAGGCGTGGACTCTGGCCTGGTGCCAGCTCCGGGTTCGTGATGTCTCCACGAACCACTGTAGAGAAGAGCGGTCACTGCCCCCATTTTACAGACTCGGAGACTGAGGCTCAGAGACAGACGGGGGGCGGGGGAGCTGGGGCTGAGGCCGGAAGTCAGATTCCATTCCGACCCCGGTCACGGCCCCAGGGCTCAGGACGACAAGTTGCCAGACGCGCCGGGGGTCCTTGTCCTGTCGCTGTCCAAGCCCTGCCAGGTCCCTCCTGACGATGGCTTGACCCCATCGCTCCCTCTGGCCTTCTCCTCTCCCCTGGTCTCCCAGCCCCACTTTTGGCCCCTTCCAACACAGCTTTCCCCACACCCTGGGAGTGACCCCTCCCAGTCACACCTGACCATACTCAAATGTCTGTCCAGCGGCCCCTCACTGCCCTTGGGTGAGGCCAAGCTCCTCAGGGTGGCTTTGGGGCCCCCACACCTGCTTCTTTCTTCTGCCCCCAGCCTGCTCTGAGAATCTGCCCTCTGCTCCCCTCACTGGGGCAAGGATCCTGTTCCCACCTCGCCTCCCTTGTACCCGACAGCTCGTCACCTGCGTGTGACAGTTACTGGGCACCCAGCAGGCACAGGAAGTGTACGGGTGGTGGCGTAGAGCAGGGTGGGTTCCCAGCGCCACGCCCCTGCCCCGGCCCCTTCCCTGGACTGCCCGGGAGCTGGGGGCCCCCGTGGTTGGAGGCAGCTGTCGCACCAGAACCTGCTCTTCGGGTACCCCGGTCCCCAGTGCAGCCCAGCCCCTGGGGCGGATGAGATGGGGCCCCACGCGGCCATCACACGCACGTAGAGGGCTTGGGTGAGCTGGGTGCTCGTCTCAGGGCCGTGGGCATGGCGAGGGTGTGGGGGAGGGATGTCCTAGCCCAGCCCCTGCCTCTTGGGCTGTCTGGGGAGCTGTCACACTCACCCTTCTCTGCCCCCCGCCCTGCAGAAACGGCACTGAAAGATGACATGAACAGCTACATCAGTCAGTACTACAACGGGCCCAGCAGTGGTAAGTCAGGGGCGGGCAATCTGTGACCCCAGCAACCCCCAGGCCCCGAGTCGGGCCGCCGGGGCCTGACTTCAGACATCAAGGCCTGCCCTTCCTGTGGTGCCTGGGAACGGCTCCAGGTTGAGATTCTTGGGGCTCCTGGCACACCCAGTGCTAGAGCTGGAGGAGCTGCAGACCCTGGCCGCATGCCTGTGTGGTGCACAGTCCTTCTGGTGCCTGAGTCTCGGGGAGGCCTGGCGGGAAGGGCTTGGAAATGGTGCCCAGGCCCTCAGCCTCTGCTCTCTGCTTCACCGGGGTCTAGGGTTGGGACCCCACAGCCTTACATCCTGTGTGTCCCCCGGTAAGGCTGGGATATGGTGGGGACAGGCATAGTATTCGGCAACTGTCCTTTTCCACCTGTGACCCCCTGAAACCTCTTCTGCTAGTTGGAGAGACCACCATCTCCATCCCCCACAACGCTGGGGAGAAACGCCCCACGCCACACCCTCTGTCACTCAGCCCCGTGGTCCAGCTCGCCTGAAGAACGGCAGAGCGCCCCCTGACGGCTGGCCATGCTTCCCGAGAGCTCCACCCACATCCTGGAGGTCCCACGGGCTCCTGCGGCACCCTGCCCCACATGTGGGCCTGCTTATTTATTTATTTGAAAGGCAGAGACAAAGATCTCCTATCCCAGCCAGAGCTGGGAGCTGGGAACCGAATCCAGGTTTCCCACGTGGGTGGCAGGGACTCAAGTTCTTGAGCCATCACCTGCTGCTTCCCGGGTACGTTTTAGCAGGAAGCCAGAGGCAGGGGCAGCGCTGGGATTCAAACCCAGGCACTCACTCGGAAGCGGGATGCTGGCGTCCCTCGCTGCCTCTGATCTGCTGCCCCAAATGCCACTCACGCTGTGAACCCCACGTTCTTTGCCCCAGCACCCGGTGCTTTCTCACTCAGTGGCAGAGAGCCCCGAGTCTCTGTTTAAAGCAAGCCACGGAGGACCACGGAGGGCAGGTTGTCTGTGTCCCTGCCCCCAGCTCATCACAGTCACCCCCAGCTTTTCTAGAACACACTGAGTGCCAGCACGGAGCGCAGCCAGCTCCCAGAGCTCCCGCCTGCGTCTCCCGAGGCACAGCCAGTGAGCCTCGTGTCCTCATTGGGGTGCAGGAAGCTGGGTAGCACGGTTTTCCCCCGGTGCGGTGGTGAATACTGGCAACTGGAGCCAAGAACTGCCACCCTGCAGTCTGCCCACAGGCCCAGCTCCCACACCTGTGCGGCCCCGACCCATGCTCCTCGGGACCCTGGAAGCGAGGCAGAGTGGGGTGTCACCGGTACGCCCTCCTTTCTTGCAGACAGCGGCGTCCCTGAGGCAGCTGTGTGCGTGGTCACCACGGCCGCCATCGACATCCACCAGCCCAACGTCTCCTCCGACCTCTTCTCGGTGGACGCGCCCCCGAAGCGGGGCGGCAACGGCACCTGCGCCAGCGCCACGTCCGAGAGCGCCTCCCGCTCCGCCTGCAGCTCCGTCACCCGGGCCCAGAGCGCCAGCAGCCAGACGCTGGGCTCCTCCACGGACTGCAGCACTGCCCGCGATGAGCCGTCCTCGGAGCCCGGCCCCTGTCCCCTGCCGCTGCCGCCACCGCCACCCCCACAGCAGCAAAGGGCAGTCCAGGACCTGCTGTCCTCCTTGTCGGAGGACCCCTGCCCACCCCAGAGGGCCTTGGACCTGGGCCCCCGGGCCCCGCTCAGCCCTGCGGGCTCGGCTCCCACCAGCCCTGAGCTGGGGCACAGGGTGTGTCTGTTCAACCAGAAGAACCAGGAGGCCTTCCGGGCCTTTTCCACCCAGCCAGTCATCCACTTCCAGCCTGCGACGCCGGCCCTGCAGGACAAGTGCAGGCCTTTGGAACCCAAAGAGCAGAAGCTGCACCGGGTCCCCGAGGCCTAGAGCCCGCAGGCAGGCTGGCGGGGAGGAGGGGACAAAGCCATCTCGACGCAGTTCCGGGACCCCAGAGGCTGCCACGGCCGCCTGGCCTCCCGCAGGGTGCTGCCTGCCCCCGGGGAGGTGACGCCAGGCCAGAGGCCACGTGCCTCAGACCTCAGAGCCCAGAGCGGCGCCTCTTCTCGCCCTGTTCCAGGGGAAGGCGGTGCTCAGGGTGGGTTTTGTTTTGTTTTTAACCATTTTTACAAAAACCAGCCTGTGGCCTAGCTTCAGCAGGGTGGAGAGCGAGGACCAGCTCGGCCTCTTCTGCTGCCTTTGTTCCCGACACCCGCCCCGGACCTCGGGAGCAGCACTGTGAGCAGGGGCTGCAGCCCCACCCCCAAGCCGTGTCTCCCAGGAGTCCTGGCACGGGTGCACGCGTGTATGCGGGGGTGACACCGCCAGAGCCCACCCCAAGCCGTGTTTCCCAGGAGTCCTGGCGTGCGCACGTGCGTGTGTGTGTGTGTGGGTGCTTGTGTGTATGTGGGGGTGACACCGCCAGAGCCCACCCCAAGCCGTGTTTCCCAGGAGTCCTGGTGTGCGCACGTGTGTGTGTGTGTGTGTGGGTGCGTGTGTGTATGTGGGGGTGACACCGCCAGAGCCCACCCCAAGCTGTGTTTCCCAGGAGTCCTGGTGCATGTGTGCATATGTGTGTGTGTGTGTGTGGTGTGTGTGTGTGTGCGTGTGGGTGGGTGCGTGCATGTATGTTGGGGTGACACCGCCAGAGCCCACCCCCATGCCTGTCCCGTCCGTCTTCATTCTCTCATTTCGGCATGGGCATCCCAGAGACCTCGTTTTCACCGTCACAGGACATCTGGGGGGGAATCTGGAGGTGGGCGGGGGGCTGGGGGCTAGGGGTGGCCATTCCCCACCTTGGCTTGAATAATAAAAACCAGCTGCACTGACAGCCCCCAAGGTGCAGCAGTCGTCTTTTGGGGCTGGCCTACTGCACGGCCACCCAGTCAGAGTGGGAGGAGCCTGGGACCAGGGACAGGAAGCTCCCCCACAGCCTGGCTGTGGGACCCTGGACGGGTCCCCTCCCATTCAGCCTTCCTCATTGGCAACTCGCAGTCCCAGGTGTCGTCCCTGGGGTCCCCAAGGCCAGCAGGGCCAACCCTGGCCCCGGTCGTCAGCCCACTCCCCGCTCTCCCTCCAGAGTTCCAGCCAGTGCCGCCATCTGCCCAGGTAGGAACAAGCGTGCTTGCTTTTCTCTTGGTCCCCTGTGGGAAGGCACACATCCTGTCGGCCTGTCCCCAGCCTGTCACGGCGGTGCTCAGGCCCTGGTCCTCACTGGCCCCGCCTCCAAGCCAGGTCTCCCCAGCCCAAAAGGCTTCAAGGGCTCTGTGTCTCCGTGGCCACCAGGCTTTCTTCAGGAGAATGTGAGCGTGGCTCCAGCGCCTGCGAGCTGGCTCGCGCCTCCTCACCCAACCTGTCCTGTCTCCATCTTTGGGTGATCCTCTCTGTGCTTGGTCCACCTCTGCCTGCCTCCCCTATTGGCCCCCAAGAGAAGCGATGGGCCCAAGTCCCGCAAGACCTCAAAACCCTGTACAGGCCACCGCCCTGGCACGGAGCCACATGGGGAGGATGGAGGAACTGGGAGAAAGGGCGGAAGACTTCACGTGCAGACCAAGGGTGCCCTCCTGACTCAGTGAAGAGAGGGCAGTGGTCAGGGAGGGTGCCAAGGGCATTAGAGGCCAAGGCAATGTGAGGTCAGACGCAAGAACGAGAGGCCCTGAGACGGGAGCCGGTTCTGCCTGGCGCTGTGCGGGGCACCAGGGCTGCCGGGGCCAGAGCTGCAGGAAGCCCAGCGGTCACTCTGGGCTTTGGCGACACGATGGCTTGGAGAGCACGGCGGGATTTGTAACCTGTGGGGTGGAGCCAGCAGGGTCGGTTAACTGATCTCCACCCTCTAGACAGCACACAGCAGCCTCCCCAGCCAGGCCCGGCTTGCCGAGCCGTGCCCAGGCCTCTCTGCCAAGCTCCCGGTGACCCCAGCAGGTCAACGAGAGCCAGTGCCAGAGGACAGTGCAGGCCCCAGGGGCTGCCAGCACCGGCGTCAGCAGTGGATCTCTGCTCCAGAGAGGCAGCATGGGACAGGGACAGGGACAGGGAGGACAGCCACGGGGTAGGACACTAGGCAAGCGGCTGCTGTCCTCTGCCTCTGTTGCCCCATCCAGGAAGTCTATGGGGAAGCTCTTCCTGTTTTTTGTTCACTGTCCTTTGGTAAGAGCTGCCTGTCTGAAAGCTGATTTCTTGGGGGGCCATTTAGCCTCTCCAGCCTGAGCCGGCACCATCACCTTCCTGCTGCCCTGGGATGACTACACAGGGAGGTGAGGGCTGGGGACAGGGGGCACGGGGTCCCTGCCTCGCAGGGCAGAGCCCGCTGTAGTCACGTGCAGGGGAGACACGGGCCTCACAGCGGAGGAGGCCTTTGCAGGGAGACTTGGGAAGGAGAGACACCAGGGCCAGGGGCCGGTGTCAGGGCACAGTGGGTTAAGGTACCAGCTGTGCGTCTGTGCTGTTCCCGAGATCAACTGGGATGGGCTGGGCCCAACGCCCACTGGAAATGTGAGCAGGAGCCGGGCACTGCTTCCCTGACTGGCAGAATGTCGTAAAACCATTTATAGAAACCCCAAAGAGGAGTGAAGGTGGAGACGGGGTGCAGCGACACCGGCAGGGTAATGACAGGGCAGGCTGCTTGGGGACAGGGACGTGGGAGGGAGGGGGCACACAGAGAAGATCTGGAGGGTAGGGTCTGTCCCTAGAGGCCCTGAATGCTGGTGAGCCTGGCCGAGCACACAGAAGGGCTGTGGGCAGAGCCCATGGGTTGCATAGGGATGACAGGAGCCGGGCGCCGAGCAGGGCGGCGTCCGGGGGAGAAGGCACAGGGCTGAGAGTCCCTGGAAATGGGGGTGGAGAAGCCTGGGAGGCCAGTGTGCGGTGTCTGAGACACGGCGGGCCAAGGGGCCACTGAGTGTCGCTCCCCCTCTTCGTGGAGGAGCAACACAGGACCCTGCGCTGTTCTTTTGTCTGCTCGGCCCTCCCCGGGTTTGCTGCTGGTTCTTCCCGGGTTGGCTACTATCCCTTCCACCTCCGTGGAAGGGCGGTTCCCCCTGGCCGCATTCCCCACTTCCGCAGGGGAGCGGCACACCGCCGGCCGGTTCTCTCGGGGGCTGCACGGGTTCCCTTAGATGTTCCCCATAGATGTTCCTGGTGCATGCCGTCTCTCTCCTCCTTTATAGTCCTCCTCCGCCAATCCTAACTCGGCTGCCCACACGCCGAGTACGCTGCTCTCCTCCAATCAGTAGCGAGTCCTACAGTTTATTAGTTGAACTGGAGGCAGCTGTGTAGAAGCTGTTTCCCTTCTCAGCGCCATATTGTGGGAAAGCAGATGCATAGAATAAGTCTTAATTCCAGTAACTCAGTCTAGTCCGGTTTGCTCCCCACAACTGAGCCTGGCTCCCTTGAGTACCCAAGGGGATTCCGGGGGCAGGAAGTACGGGCTGGCGTTCTCTCTGTGCCTGCCAGGCCTGGCTCAGCCGCACCCGTCCCACTGGCGTCCTGAGGCCTGGAGTGCAGGAGATGGAGGTAAAAAGCTTCAGCCGTCACAGCTCCCCTGGGCACCGTAGCCGAGTTATGGCCAGCAGGGGTGGAGGAGATGGGGGGGGGGTGCACTCCCTGGGAGGTCTGCCGCTCTGGAAAATGCCCCCCCCTTCAGAGTCCACTCTGGGGGTCCAGAGCAGCCATCTGGGGGCTCTCCCAGAAGGGAGGGGCCCTCTGTCTCCAGCTCAGAGCAGAGGGGGCAGCAGCTCCAGGAACAGCTCCCTTCTGTTCACTTCCTGCTGGGGAGGGGCTCTGTTCATCACAGCCCTGATTTATGGGGGGAAACCGAGGCACAGGAGGACAGACTTGCCCAGGGGAACATGCTGACTGGTGGTAAAGAGGCCAGATCCAGATCCAGGCAGGTCTGGATGGCTCCCTGGGGGCTCAGCACACATAGCCTGGGTGCCTGCCTGACATGCACACTGGCAGTGAGGGCAGCAGGGCACGGCCTGTCCACTCCCTGCAGGCCTGGCCCAAAGCCCACCCAGGCCTGGGCTGTAAGGCCTTCCCTGAGTGGCAAGGCCCCAGGTGGTCCCAGGCCATGCCTCCAGCCAACCAGGCTTTTCAAATCCAGTCCCAGAGATCAGGGCTGGGGACACAGACCCTGTGTGGTTAGAGGTTAGCTGGAGGCCTGGACTTCCCACCTGGCACTCGACTCAGGACCTCCCTTCTGTCTCCCACACGGCTCTCGACGACGCCAGGGCCCCGGGAGAGCCAGGCTCTCTTGCCCTACAGCTTTCTGTTGGGGGCCCTGTTGTGTCAGAGCTGTTGAGAGCCTCGAAGGAGAGCCATTGGAGGAAGCCCTGCCTTCACCACCCAGCCAGCGCCGCACTGTGCTACACCAGGACGCCCACAGACTCCCAGAGCCCCAACAGCCAACACGGACACCCAGGGCAGGGCTGGAGAGACGCCGGGTCGCTCCTCCCACCTCTGCCCCCCGTGCTGCTGTTCCTCACGTGGGGAGGGTCAAAGCCCAGCCCCGGCTTCTTCGTGCAGCCTTGCTCTTGGTTTGCTTTGCAGCTCCTACAGATCCTGGGCGCTGTGTACTCCCCAATGTGAGAGGAGGAGGGCTCAGTGCTGTGGAGAAGCCGGATAAGCCGCTGCCTGCACTGCTGGCAGCCCTTGTTGGTGCCGACTTGAGATCTGGCTGTTCAACTTCCAATCCAGCTCCATGCTTAATGCACCTGGGAAAGCAGCTTAAGATGGCCTGGGTGCTTGGGCCCCTGCACCCACGTGGGAGACCCAGGTTGAGTTTCAGGCTCCTGGCTTTGGCTTGGCCTGGTCCCAGTACTGTGACCATTTCGGGAGTGAACGAACAGGTTCAAGATCTCTCTCTCCTTCTCTGTCCCTCTACCTGTTGGATAAGTAAATAAATCTTAAGGCAGGGCCCGGCGCCGTGGCTCACTTGGCTAATCCTCTGCCTGTGGCGCCGGCATCCCATATGGGCACCGGGTTCTAGTCCCAGCTGCTCCTCTTCCAGTCCAGCTCTCTGCTGTGGCCCGGGAGGGCAGCAGAGGATGGTCCAGGTGTATGCACCCACATGGGAGACCGGGAGGAAGCACCTGGCTCCTGGCTTTGGATCGGTGCAGCGCTGGCCGTAGCGGCCATTTGGGGGTGAACCAACAGAAGGAAGACCTTTCTCTCTCTCTCTGCCCATAACTCTACCTGTCAAATAAATGAATAAAAAACCTTGAAAACAAATCTTAAGGCAGAGGGTTATAGCTGGGACAGCTCCTGGCGTAAGGGATGGGTGAGCCCTCGGAGGACTCTGGGGGCAGCCACGCAGAAGGCGTCCTGTAAGCCATGGAGGTCGGGATGTTGCCACCAGAGCGCACTCGGCACCTGCAGCCTCGGCTGCCCGGGGGAGGCTCCGCTGTCTCGTGCTGCCGCTGAGTCTCGGGTGCGGAGTGGGAGTGGGACACAGCGGCTCTGAGAGCTGAAAGCATGGTGCCTCGGCCCAGCAGCTGTCCTGGGCTCAAACCTGCTCCCCCAGCCCCGTGCTGTTCCCCACACAGCATGCCCCTTATCTGCCCTCTCCATTTCCCACAGCTAGCCAGAAGCCTACACCTCTCCCACGTTGGCAGAGTCCGTAACTACTCTGGATTTTTTTGGTTTTTATTTTTTGGTTCCACTGCTGAGGAGTTTGGCACTGTCTCCTGGTGAACACTTAATTATCCAAAGAAGATGCCGGAACGAGTGCTGCTAGGAACTAAAGCAGCAGCTGCCAAGGAGACGGGGCGGGGGGAATCTAGGCTGAGCCCCCAGGCTGGGCACAGGGGGCTGGGCTGCCTGCGCGTCCTGGAACGCGCCAA